TGAAAATGGGTGAGATTTCTTACCTTCCTCAATAGGTTCATAACCAGTGGATATTGTCAAATATAATTGCTTTATGTTTTATTTAAATTATCCTTCTATAGTCTTTGGTAGCTTCCATTCAACTTGATGTCTGTTACCTCTGTCTCCTCCATCTGTCTGTCCTTCAGAGAATGAAGAATGGCTTTTTTTTTTCTGCTAGTGTTCTTCAAGAGAAATTTTAGCCAAAAGGAATATTGTGGTGAGTACTGTCTTCCCTCAATCAGCCCTTCTTTTAACTCCCTTCTCTTCTGATCATCTAGCTTCCTTCAGAACTCTCACTCACCAAGGGCCCTGTTTGCCCTCCAGTATAATACTGACCCTGTCTCATGCTCTTTCTCCTTCTCCTACTAGTTCACTATACCAGCCTTTTCCATTGTGGCCTGGCCCTGATGCTTACCCTGCTTGTCTCGTAACTGGCTACCCTGGGGTAACAGGTCAGACTGCCCTCTTGTCAGATCCTTGTATGCTCATCCCTTTGTGTGGTATCTAATCTGCTACCCTGGAAAGAGGACTGGAGAACTCCAAAAGGGTCGTTGAGTCAAGAGGACCAAAGAAGCATTCTTGTGTGCCCATTCCTCTCTCTTTAGGGAGGCAAGTTTCACTACCACCAGAGTGGAAGAAGTGAGGATAAACAGGCCTGGAATTAGATGAGAGAATGAGCTGCTCTGTTACCCTCAGGGCAGTTGGCTGGAGGAGGATAAGAGGTGACATGACATGGCATTGGGATAAAAGGCTCTGCAGAAAGGGGAGGCAAGGGGAACTGGCAGTTGTGGGACAGCTCAGCATTAGGTTAGAGAGGAGTCAAAGGTCTTTGGGTAGGAATGTGGTTCTGAATGAAACTGGGTAGCAGAGGACCAAAGGAAAGTTTAGGAAGGAATGATGAAGGAATACAGTGCCTTCTGTATGGCCTCTTTCAGCTTGCTGTTTGGAGCAGGCATAACTGCCTTGTTACTCAGAATGCTGAAGTACTGCTGTGCTGATCTTTTCACTTACTGAAACATTACCTTAGCATTGGTTCTGTTATTTTTATAATTTGTTTTTGTGTAATAATGGCTATTACAGATTAACGATGTTTCTCAAAGGAAGCAAAAAGAAATTATAATACAGCATACTCTTCCCTTTTAAAATTGGTACTTGCCCCAAAGAAACTTGAACTTTCCTTATCTATAATTTTGGTTACAATTAATACCAACTACTTAATACATATTTGAATACTGTGCAAAGTCTCATGGAAGACGGAGTCATTGAAGAAGGTGAAGCCTAACGAGCATAAGACGTGACAAATTAAGAGATACCACAAAAACGTAATAAATACGTAAATGGCTGTTAAACATAAGAATTTCTTTGGATTTCAGAAGAGAAAGTAATCTCTATTGTATAGTAGTCTGAAATTATTTCAGTAAGGTAAAGGACCTTAGCTGAATCTTTATGGATAGGAGCTAACTGAAGAGTTAAACCAAGAGAAGCCTTTTTTTCTTTTTCTTTCTTTTTTTTTTACTGCAATACTTTTTATTTCTGTTGTTACAGCAGCAAGCTCAGGTGCACCTGAAGCTCACCTCTAACAGTGCATCTGGTTAAATTCCAGGGGACACACCTGTACTCTAAGCTGTGCCTCCCACTGACATTTCCCATCCCACACCTAGGCACACACCTAGATGCACACCTGCCCACACGTGCAGTGAGGCAGAGTCTGCACCCATCTTAGCCCTGACCAGTGATCCACTCTGGGTATCTGGCAGAAACCAGCCAGGAAACCACCCCTTCCTGGAGGGGTGAGCCACTGTCACCCTGGCTGGGAGGGGTTCCCTCTGTTACCTTGGGTGGGGGCACATGAGAAGACATTCTGAGTGGAGGAAACACTATAGGCAAAATTGTGGAAACCAAAAAGACCCATATTTGGGAGAAAACGTTTTTGTTTTGGATTACTATCTGGTAGGTAGGTGTGAGCCAGTGAAAGTTTCAGAGTAAGGTAGTGATTTGATCAAAGGGTGCTTTAGGAAGTTAATCTGGCAACAGGATCACCAGGCAGTTGGAAGTGTGGCACTGGAGCTCCCAGATGGCCTAGATATGGGGAGTATTTGTACTGGGTGTAGAATTTCCCAAGGGAGAAAATGGTGAGAGATGAGCAGCAAGGATTGAATCTGGGAGGTGTTCATATTAAGAGTGGTAAGAATAGGAGAACAAGGAAAGAAGAGTTTGGAGAACAGGGTAAGATGTGAAAACTTAGGAAGGAAAATATTTTAAGAATAGGATACTTGCTGGTATCAGATGTCATAGAAGAGTCAAGAAAAATTGACTTCATGAAAATATTGGATTTGAAGCTTAAAAGAGTTTAGTGGTGACCTTCAGGTATGATGTTTCAGTAGTATAGAAAGATAGAAACTTGATTTACAAGGATTAAATTGTGTATGATGAAATAAGTGATTTTAAACACTTGTTCCAGATGCTTGTCAGTAAAAAGAAAATGTTCTAGAAGGTGGAGATCACGCAGTTTATTTTCTCAATGGAGAGCTCTGCTTATTGGAAGATGGAAGGGAATGGATTTAATAATAACACAGTGCTTTGAGATATTGGAGGAAGGGTAATTGAATGAGGATGGAAAGGGGATGTTATCAAGACAAAAGTAGGTCAGGAAACAATTTTTTTCTCCTTTGTCCTGCTATCTCTAATTCACTGTATACCAATTTTGTAGCAAAAACCAGTGAATTAATGGATAAAGGTAAATGTTTAGATAGCCTTGAAGGAGAAAGGAGAAATATTATGCCAAAAGGTGGGGATATGTCTATGCACAGTGGGAATTAACTGTTGTATTACTTTTTTCTTTATGTGACTAGCTTTATTTCCTAAAACAATTTTCTTAAAATATGTCCTTGCTTACCCTTAACTATAAAATTTGAAGCTCACCTCTTAGTGTTTTGTTCTGAAGCGGTTGAAAAGTTTTATACTACCTTTAGTCTTCTTGACTGAAAAAAATGTATTTTAGTTGTATTTCTTACCAACTACAATGATTTAATGACTAATTCGATAAATGCTACATTGTTACTATTTGCTTCTTAATGCCATACAGACAAAAACTTGTGTGTTTCATTTGCCTCCTTACAGCATTATCTGTTTTTTTTTAATAAAAGGCTTTCAGAGCTTTGCTTTATAACTTTTTAGCTCTATGTGAGAGAAAAAGAATCCCAGAAGGAATATGAGCCTCTTTGCGGTTTATTCATGCTTAGCTTTAGGACCTTGCCTTTTTTTCTCTTCCTCACTATATAAAATCTGAAGATATATTCACTAAACTCCCCTTGTGTAGAATTGGACACAGTCGATATAATCTTGCTCCACCTTGTTTAAAGTACCCATTTGTTCCAGGTATGGAGCCTCCTTGCATTTATTCCCTGTGGCATCCACTCTACCTCGTTGAGTCTGATTAGTAGTGTAGTGGGGGGCTACACCTATACAATATGTGGACAGCTGGTTGCAATTACTTGTGACTTTTTCCTCTCTAAGACTTTAGAATTTTCGTGTGTTGCAGAAATACAGTTTCCCATTCCCCACCTTATTCCAAGTGTAAGACATTGTGATTTTATCACAAGCTTCGTTCTTTGGATAAGTGGCAGGACTAGGATTTGATTCGAGGCACTGTGGCTGTGGAATTTGTGCCATTATGCTATATGACTTTATAAACTCTTTCCTCAGGGATCGTATTTATTGCCATATCTATACCTTTAGTCCCAACTTTCTCCTGAACTGTAGATTTCCTCTTTCTCCTCATCTTGCTAGGATTGTAGATTCAGGTTTGCACTTCTAACCTAAAATTCTCTGAAAGTTTCCTTCCATTTTACTTCACGCTTCACACTGCTGCCAGATTAATCTTTCTAAAGCATAGCTGTAGTCTCATCACTCTCTTGACCCAAGACCATCATGGTTGCCCTGTACATTCAAAGGTCTCCACAGTAAGGCTTCACCTACTTCTGTACCTGTATCTCTGACTACTCTCTTAAGTGAACCCTGAATTAGAACCAAACTATGTTACTCACTTCCCTAAATATACTCTTTTCTTATAGCTGTGCTCTTCTTTTCCCTCTTCTAAATGTTTTTTCCCTTTTCCCTTTCACCACCTCATCTCCACCGGTATTGAAATCATTTTCTACCATTAAGATGCATATCATGCACCATTTCTTTTATGAAGCCTTTTCAGTATTATACAGTTGGGGATGTAGCATCGCTCCCTTCTTTCACACTTCTCAAAGCACTTCATACTTCTTTTCTGACACCTTTCCATACTCTATATTATTATTATTTATGTACTTGCCTTACCTGCTCCCCCAGGCCTAATAGCCAGGTCCTGGAGAGTAGAGATCAGGCATCTCCTGCAGCCCTAGCGTAGGTATTTTTTTTCAAATTGTTTTTTATTATTCCTATTTTAAATTGACACATAATTGTACACATGGGGTACATACAGTGTGATATTTCAATACTGTGTGGAGTATAATGATCAAGTCAGGGTGATTAGCATATCCATTACCTCAAACATTTATCATTTCTTTGTATTGGGAACATTTAAAGTCCTCTGTTTTAGCTATTTGAAAATATACAATAAAATGTCATTAACTATAGTTACCCTACAGTGTTATAGAGTACTATAGCTTATTTTTCCTATCTAGCCATAATTTCTTATCTGGTAACCAACCTCTCCCTATCCCTCCACTATCCCCCACCCAGCCTCTGGTAACCACTATTCTACTTTCTACTTCTGTGAGATCAACTTTTTTAGTTTCCATATATGAGTGAAAACATGCAATATTTATCTTTCTGGGTCTGGCTTATTTCACTTAACATAAATGTCCTTCAGGCTTATCTGTGTTAGCATAGGTCGCTTTTCATAGCATCTGCTCAATACATTTATTGACTCAAACTGAAACATATGAGAAAACACATTCAGAATAACCATTATATTTTTGTTATTTTAGGCTTGATCGTCTATTTATTTTACTGGATACTGGAACTACTCCAGTTACAAGAAAAGCTGCCGCGCAGCAACTTGGAGAAGTGGTGAAGCTTCATCCCCATGAACTAAATAATCTTCTATCTAAAGTAAGAACTCTTTTTGTTTTAGTATAATACAATTGTAGAGACTTGTCTGTGGATAGGAACACAAAAGTAAAGGTAAAAATCATCTTATTTCAGTAATAGTTTATGATCTCCAAATTCCTTTACATATTTTAATATTTTTCCAAATATTTTTAGATTTTTTTGCTGTTTCTTATTTTTTGTCACAAGATTTACAATTTTTTTGAATCAAGTTTAATTGTTTAAGGGTTTTGACAATATAGAACCTTTTGCTTGTGGCACAGACTTGAATCTGTCCCAATTTGGTAATGAACTAAGTTGTTAATCTGGTTTGTTAGTGGTCTGACTTGTTCTTAATGGCTAATAATTATATCATAGTTGGTAGTCTTCAGATAGGTGAGTACTGATGGGCAATGATTGAAATATATGAGAAGCTAGATGTCATATTACATCTTTAGTTATCAGCTGTTTGAAAGTGGAGGCTTTCTGTTTTGGTGGGTTAGTGTTTTCATAATCCTATCCCATCTTCTTTCCTTAAGCAATGGCTGTATTTTTACTGAACTCTGTAGGCTTGCTGAAGTATACCTGTATGGTAGTAAGTGACAAATTCCATATGTTTAATTCCCTAGCATGCAGAATAAAGCAGGAGTGCTTGGTGTGGGGGGAGGGGGTGGGGGAAGGTGGATACACGATAGGGTTGGGGATCAATATGATTGTCTAGACATTGGAAGCCTCAAGATACCTCTCTCACCGCAGTCTTATCCCCTTTCATTCTCATTTGTCCCTCCCTAATATTTATAAGCAGGAGTTCTAAGCCCTTTCTCAACGTACACAAATCTGCATTGTACGTTTGTGACCATGAGGACTAACAGCGACTCTCTTTCCAACATACTCCCACTTAGATATTATCAGTACTTTCTAACTAAGATGTAGATGGAGAGACAGTGATTTGATAACTATAGGCTCCACAGTCTCAGAGTGAAGGATGCATATTAGGCAATATTATACTCATGTATAAGGTGGGGACACAGAGAGGCATACACATTTCTTCCCCTCATGCCAAGGGAAGAAGTGGAGGATGGAATGACCTTAAACTGGAAACAATGAACAGTACTAGTCTATACTGAACTGAGAAAAAGATTTACAGCTTTCCAAGTGAGTTCTGGTCTTCGTAACTCAGACCTCAGCATATTGGCTGCCATCAGATCATTCCAAAAGAGGCAGAGTTTGTCTCTAGCACTGACTCGCCTCGTTTCCTCTTTTCTCTGCCCTCAGTGTTTTCCTGTTGCCTTTTGGTTTAGTGTGTGTGTGTGTGTGTGTGTGTGTGTGTGTGTGTGTGTGTTTTAAGCAGCTTTATTGAAATAGTTTACATAAGTGCACAATTCAGTGATATGTAGCATATTACCATAGTGTGCAACAGCCATCATCACAGTCTGATTTTAAAACATTTATCACCACAAAAAGAAACCTCATACCAATCAGCAGTCACTCTCCATTCCTCACTCTCCCATATCTAGTCCTGGTCAACCACTAAACTAACTTTATGTGTAGTTGCCTATTCTGAACATTTTATATAAAATGAATCATGCAATTTGTGATTCTTGTGACTAGTTTCTTTCACTTAAAATAATGTTTTCATATTTCATATTGCCAAATAATATTCCATTGTATGGCGATGGATATACTATACATATATACCATATCTTATTTATTCATGTATCAGTTGATGAACATTTGGATTGTTTCCACTTTCTGGCTGCTGTATTATAAAAAATGCTGTAATGAAAATTTATGTACAAATTTTTGTATGGAAGTATGTTTTCATTCTCTTTGGTATATACCTGGGAGTAGACTTGCTGAACCATATGGTAACTGTGTTTAACTTTATGAGAACTGCCAGACTCTTCCAAAGTGGTTCCACTGTTTTACATTTTCAACAGTAGCATACAAGAGCTCAGATTTCTCCACATCCTTGCCAACACTTATTCACTGACTTTTTAATTATAGCCATCCTAGTGGATATGAAGTGGTTTGGATTTGCATTTCTCTGATGACTAATGATGTTAGGTATCTTTTCATGTGTCTGTTCATTTGTATGTCTTCTTTGGAGCAATAATAGATCCCTTGCCCATTTTTAAATTGGGTTATTTGTCCTTTTATTATTGGTTGTAAGAGTTCTTTGTATAGTCTGGATACAAGTCTCATATCAGGTATATGATTTGGAAAGATGTTCTTCTAGTCTGTGGGTTGTTTCTTCACTGTCTTGAACATCACTTGTGCTTCTGGTGTCATATCTAAGAAACCATTGCCTAACCCACAATCACAAACATTTAGTCCTATATTTTCTTCTAAGAGTTTTATAGTTTTAACTCTTGCTTTTAGGTTTATGGTCCATTTTGGGGTTAATTTTTGTACATAGTATGAGGTAGGTATTCAACATCATTCTTTTGCATGTGGCTGTCCGGTTGTTCCAGCATCATTTGTTGAAAAGACCATGATTTTCCCTTTGAATTGTCTTGGTAACTTTGTTGAAAATCAGTTGACAGTAGACACAGGTTATTTCTGAACTCTCAGTTCTATTCCACTGATCTATATGTATATCATTTTGTCAGTATTACAGAGTCTTGGTTACTTTTGCTTAGCAGAAAGTTTTGAAATCAAGAAGTGTGAGTTGCCTGGCACGGTGGCACGCACTTGTAGTACCAGCTACTTAAAAGGTTGAGGCAGGAGGATCATTTGGGCCCAAGAGTTCAAGGCTGTGGTATACTATTATCATGGCTTTGAATAGCTATTGCATTCCAGCCTGAGCAGCATAGCAAGACCTCATCTCTAAAAAATTACGAAGAAAAAAAGAAGTGTAGGCCTACCAACTATATACTTTTTCTTCAAGATTGTCTTGGTGATTCTGGATCTCTTGCATTTCCATGTGAATTTTAGAATAAGCTTGTCCATTTCTGCAAAAAAGCCAGCTGGGATTTTGAGAGAAATTGTGTTGAATCTATAGATTAATTTAGGGGATATTACTTACCTTTAACAATATTAAGTCTTCCAATCTATGAACACGAAGTGTCTATTTAAATCTTTAATTTCTTTCAGCAAAATTTTAAATGTTTTGTAGTTTTCAGTGTATAGGTCTTGCACTTCTTTTATTAAATTTATTCTTAAGTGTTTTCTACATTTTGATGCTATTGGAAATGGCATTGTTTTCTTAATTTCATTTTCAGATTAATGTGTAGAAATAGGGTTGATTTTTATATATTGATCTTACATCTTATAACCATACTGAACTTACCTATTCATTCTACTCCTTTTTTTTTTTTAACTTTTAGGTCTTTTTGTATTAAGTAATGAGACAATAAAAAATAAGTACTTTGCTTTTTAATATATTAAATAACTATGCTTTTCTTAGAATACACTTCAGCATGTTTTTGTTAAAAGTTTCTTAATCCACTTTGTTAAGGGGGTAGTGATATTTCCTGTGAATGATAGACTCTTGTAAATGATTTTAATAATTGTGATGTATTTTATATATATTTGGAGGGGTGCTGAGTTATAAATTAATAACAAGTAAATTTATATTTCTCTGTTCTGGCTACCTTGAGCAAACAATTTTTTTATGTATAACTTTTATAATTTTTAAGGTATTGATATATTTAAGGAGTGCAAATTGGGATACCCGGATTGCAGCAGGACAAGCTGTTGAAGCTATAGTGAAAAATGTACCTGAGTGGAATCCAGTGCCAAGAACCAAACAAGGTGCTTTTAAGTGGAAAAGTAGTTTGAAGTAAAAACCTAACTGCAGAATTGACTATAATATACATTTTATGTTTTAATAATTTTAATTTAAAGGCTTAATTTTCATGCTTTTAGGTGCAGCTTTGTCAGGACATGATATTGAATAAGGTGATTTTCACCATACTTGAAAAAAAAAAACTACCGGATAAACAAAGTGTTTTTACATGTATTTTAAATTATTAATTTTATAGTATGCTTGATTTATAGAGATTATTACTTCCACCCAAGAAATTCACATTCTAAAAAAGAAGTTAAATCAATACAGTATAAATATTTGAAACAGTCTATTTTTTCTTCTTGTTGCTGGGAAAACAGTATAGTGTAGTTATTTTCTAAATTTAAGCACAATTATATATGGATATTTGGAGTGATAAGTTGTTAGTGTTTTTTTTTGTGTGTGTGTATGGAGATGGTTTCTTGCTATGTTGGCTGGTCTCAAACTTGGGCCCTCCAGTGATCCTCCTGTCTCGGCCTCCCAAAGACAGGATTACAGGTGGGATTACAGGGGTGAGCCGCCACGCCCGGCCAAGTTTTTGGTTTTTATGTGCCCTTTAGATGTCTTGTAGTGGAAAAACATTTGTTTTCTGACTGCCTATAATGATATTTAAAAACACAAGCTTTTGAAAGTTGTAAAGGTGTACGTTTTAATTAAGTCAAAATTTAATATGGTGCAGTGTGATTCATTTTCACCTTATAACGTCACTTTTATCATCAGTCTTAGCTTGCCTAAGATTTTTGCTTTTATTTGGTGACATCTATTATTTTGAGTTATTGTATTAATTTATCTTCTCTCATCAAATGAAATGTATGACCAGAAGTAGTTATGGCTTGTTTCAGAAAAGAGCCTTTTCTTTTTAAGCTCATTTATCCCTGCTTATTTAGATATGTAGAGATACTACAACTCAGATCCATTTTTAAAATCTTGTTAAATTAGTTATACTAGCATTAAAATTTTTGGTGAGGTTGTTGTCATCACTAGAAAAGTTAAAACATTCATAATAGTTAATCTAAGTTAAACAATTATACTTTAGTTTACAGATGAATTACATGCAAGTGCCAGCTAAGCAAACTATTAAGTCAATGAGCAATTACAATATATTTTAATGTTTATAATGGTATAACCTTTTGGGGAGGAATACAGAACATTTTGTAGATATTTTTAGACCTCAGATGGATATATAATTTTAGCAATTCATCAGGAGATTATAATTTCTTCAGAGTATGGGAAGAGAGTCCTGTTGAATACATAGTGGCCTAGCCATTCCTCAAGTACAGGGAGGGATGATGCTTATTAACCTTGTTTGTGAATACATTCTGTGAATATTTTTGTCTTCTCATTTAGCACTGTAATAAACTCGTGTTGTTACCTTGGTATTTTTAAACTCTTGAACAGTAAATGGAGACAGCATGATGTTTAACATATATATTTCAACATAGGAATGCATGTCTTCACATAACATTGTGCTTTAGTGGTTGGAAACAGTTACACATACATGTACTAACATTCTGATGGTTTGTAGAAGGGGAGCCAGCAACTTAATAATTTATCCACAGATAACTAAGAACTGATCATAAATAAATCTAAGTACCTTTTCTACCTCCTCCACTTTTACTTTTCTTAAAATATTACCCACATACTCTGAATAATGATATACTATTTTCTTTCATTCCATGCTTTTGAATGAAATTAATATGGTCAAATTAATATTTTTAAACCTTATCTAGAACCTACTGCAGAAAGTTCTATGGAAGATTCATCTACTGCAGATCGATTGAATTTTGACAGATTTGATATATGTAGATTGTTACAACATGGTGCATCACTCTTGGGATCTGCTGGTGCAGAATTTGAACTCCAGGATGAAAAATCAGGTATGTAGTAGTCTTATAGAAGAAAGTCTGACATGTTTATATGTTTTCAAACTAATTTGTCACGTGGTATGCTGTTCTTCGGTCATATGTAATCTAACATGTCACAAAATATAAATTGAAGTCTATGTGGGTAGGGCAGGTTGAAGATAACTAACAGTATTTGGTCTAAAGCTACAATGTGAGGATTTTTTTCCCTCTAAGTGAGTATGTACTATGTAGGTGCATCATTAATTGATACATATGAATATTTCAGCAAC